CCTTGTTGCTGAGGCAGACCAGGCACAGTAGCTCTGTCTGCCCCGCGGAACAGCCTGCCACCCGCCATTGGCCCACCTTCACTGCAGACAGGGGCGGGGCCGGGCTGCCCGAACTGGCACCAGTAACAGGCGGCCTCGGTGCAGTCTCCAAGGAAGCCACGCATGGTGCACATGATGCTCTGTCCCTGAAGGCAGAATGGAACCCGCTTCTTCCGGGGGAGAAGTGGAGAAGGGAACAAAGGTGCATGAAGAGTTGGGAGAGAAGGAGAAGCAGGGAGGGAAGGGGCAGAGGCAGAGCAGCCACATGGGAAGGACAGGTATTGGGCAGGCTTTTGAGAGCCAGGAGCCAGGGAGGAGGAGGGTGGGGTGTGCCTGGGGAGTGATTAGTCCTGGGCATCACTTCCAGGGGCTGGGGTGGTATGGGGTTGGGGGAAAGGGGTCAGGTAGAACCCCACTGCTAAGTGCAGTCTGTAGGAGGCCCTTGATTTGGACTGAGCTCCTCTCCTGGGCCCAGCAGACCAGATGCAACCAGAGAGGGGCCATTGAGCTCAGGGAGCTCAGTGCCACGTGGTCACACCGAGCTTTGAAAGGGGCCAGTTTGCCAGAAAACATGAGATTCGCGGCAACTCATCAGATGGGCCCAGTTTACCTGAGCCTGCCAGGTAAGGAGATCCCCTCTGTTTCAACACTGTCAAGAAGGTAACGTGCAATGACCAATTCTTTCTGTTCCTGGTTCTGCATCCGTCAGCCCTTTTTTGCCTATAAAACCAACCTCTTCTGCTCAGCTCATTAGAGCACCTTTCCCATTTTTTTAAGGTTTGCCATAGGACACATGCACTCACCAGAGAGAGAGAGACAGTGAGAGATGGTGAGAGGAAGAGTAAGAAATACCCCCCAGAGGATAGCCACGTTGCCATCCTTTCTGGGATTTGGGGATAGATAGATTGCCTTAAGGTCAATTAGATCTTTAAACTAAGTAGGTTGAAATTCTGTTTTTTCGAACACCGCTTTGTCTCTCTCACTCGTGTGATCAGCTAGCAGAGGCCATGCTGCCAGATGCTGGCAGCCCCAAAGTCTGCCCTGGGTCGGGGA